TTTTTTTTTTTTTTTTTTTCCTTTCTTTCTTTTTGTTTTATTATGTAACATCAGACTTTTATTGATAAGAAATTTTTTTTTTAAGTATTTGAGACAATGTTTTTATTTTAACCATAATAATAATAATAATAATAATAAATAAAAAAATTTGAAATTTATATATAATGAGATTTAATTAGAATTTTTTTTTTGTCTTTCGACTGATTTATTTTATTTTTATTTCTGTGTAATAACAATAATAATAATAATAATAAAAAATTAAAATGTATTTTGATAAGAGGATTAAATACAACTGTCAACACATTGAATTCATGCCAATAATTATTATTATTATTATTATTATTAATTTTTTTGTTTGTTGTCGAGGGTCAAGGATTTTAATGAACTACAGAATTGAAACCATATTGCTAATTTTTTTTGTTTTTTAATTTGCTTTTTTTTAAATAAAACTAAAGGTAATAACATTTTTTCACATGGAAAAAATGTTTTGATTAATAAAAAATTAATAATAATAATAATAATAATAATAATAATAATAATAAAATTATTACCTGTCTCTGGGACTGTCTCTTCTTGACGAAGCTAAAGAAACTCGAGCTGATGACTGATTGCTTTCCCTTTGTGCTTCTCTTAATAATCTTAAATATTCTTCTCCTGATGTAAAAGGCAAAGGTGTGACTCTATCTGGAGTAGAACCATTTCCTGTAGTGTTTAATTCTACCCAAGAATCTGAAAAAAAAAAAAAAAATTTTCTTTTAATATAATAAATCAATTAATATTCGTCTTTATTAAAAATAAATTTGTGCGCTTTGGAGTTCGGAATGATTTACTTTAAAATATTTTATATGATAAATTTATGAATTTAAAAGAGGAAAATTCATAACACAAAACATGATTAACTATATTAAATGAAATTCCATAAATTACAAATTTATTATTTTATTAAAGTTATAGATTCAAAAAAATTTTTTTTTTTTGAAGTTTCGAAAACAAAGTTGAATAATTCGACAAGGAAAAAAAAACTCGAAGTAAAATATTCATGCTAGTTTTTCTTTCGTTTTTTTGAATCAAAATTTTTAATAATTAATTTACATGATATAATTTATTTATAAATAAAAATTAATAATAAGTAAAAAAAAAAAAAAAAAAAAAAAATGATAATAATTTTGTATAATTTTATTTTGAATTATCTTTTCTTTGTACCAGATTATGTTTAATAATAAATTTTTTTTTTTTTTAATTCAAACAAAGAAAGAAAAGAAATCATTTCCTACCACTATTAATATTCATTTAAAATTTTTTTATTGATAATTTTTTAAGAATAAGGGGGAACTTTTCAAATAAATCAAGTTTAAGTTTTTTTTAAAAATAAATTTAATAGTATTTAAAATTTAATAAAAAATTTTTATTTTTTAAGGAAAATATTTAAAAAAAAAAAAAAAAAAAAAAGACAAGCTCGTTGTTTTTTTTTTTTTTTTTTTTTTTTTTAATGTTACACATACAAGTATAAATTTTTTTTTAAAAATTACGCAGTTAATAATAATTAAATAAAGGTATGAGAAAAATCTTTAAAAATAAAAAATAAAACATTTGTCAAGTGTAAACAAAGAGACATATATTCGACAAATTAATTATTTCAATGGACTACGTGACTTTTAACCTATCTCTCTCCTCCAAACACAGTATATCATATCATTCATTTACCTCCTAATATTTCATCCGTCAATTTATTATTTGATTTCGGAGAAGCGGACATATTGTTTATTAATAATTATCAACTAATTATATAACACGATGTTTTTAATATATTTTACACAATAAATAAACCAATGATGATTTCAAATAAAAAAAAAAAAAAAAACACTGGACAGTTATATGTTTAAAAAGTTGGAACGCAAAACAGACTAACACGTTTGTTTATGTGTTGTTTTAAACGTCAACATTAAGTGCGTCAAATTAAATAATCGACCAATAGAAATGATCATTTAAAAAAGTCAAATCAGAATCTTTTTCAAATCGAAATGAAAAATAAAATATCATTTATTATAAATAAATTATTAATTAATTTAAAAGAAAACAATTTTAGAAAAAATATATTTTTTTTAAAAAATGTTATTGAATTATATTTTCCCTTTACAAAACAAAATAATTTCTTTTTTTTTTTATTTAAAAAAAAAAAAATAATTATAATTAATTAAATATTAATTGTTAAGTTTTCCACTAGTAGCAGCACAATCGGTGTTTTCCAGATATTATTAATTGTGTGTTTTTTTTTTTAAAAAAACGATTTTTCTTGGAAAATATTTGTAAAAAAAAAAAAACAATTTTTAATTTCTGTAAAGTTTATATGAATTGTTGTTTTATTACTATTATTTACATAGGTAAAATTAAATTTTTCTAATTATTATTTAATTAATTTTAAATACTTAACGCTGACATATTTTTTGGTTTTTTTTTTTAACAAAGAATGGATGAACTAAATTCAAAATAAAGCAAGCGATTTTTTTTTTCTTTGTTTCCTTTTTTTTTTTTTTTTTCTTTCTTTCTTTCTTTCTTTCTTTCAAATAAATTATTAATAAATTTATCAATTTTTTTTTTTTTGTTAACTTATCGGTTTTGGTTTACAAATTAAAAAAAAAAATTTTAAATTCATTCTTTGTTTATTATTATTATTCGGGGTTTCTTACACATCGGTCTGGTTTGGGCTTGTTAAAATTTAAAAATAAATTTTTTAATAATACAAATAATCGTTTTTATTCCATGTTGTTTTGTATTTAAATAAAATATGTAATTATTTCTATTTAAAAAAATTATTTTTTTTAGAAGTGTAATGAAAATGAAGATTCCAAGTAGTGGAGGTTTGGGTAATGGTTATTACAATCATGAAATTAGCATAATATCATATTTATCTGATTCCGATTTGAGCGATGATTTGGATTCTCCAACCATTGATGGAGATTTTTCAGAATATATGTGGATGGAAAATGAAGAAGAATTCGATCAACAAGTTATGAAACAACTTGAAGAAGAAGCATTAATGGAACAATGTATAGAAGCCATGTTGGAAGAAGAGCCAGAGGTTTTTAATAATATACAAAATCAAGTTACAAATACATTGCTTCCGAATGTCGCCATAACTTGTCAATCGTGGAATACTGAAAATATAAACGGATCAAATATTGTTCAGGGTATGGGAAGTCTTTGTTTGAGAGATGATGTTGCAAAACAGGTAAATAAATTATTATTATTATTAATAATTCATGCATGAAAATAATAATAAAAAAATTTTCCTTTTTTTAAAAAACATAAATTAAACTCGTTATTTAATAGAGCACATTAAATCCGAATGCGAGAGAATTTATACCTCAACAGAGAACGACGCAAGCTGTATCAATCGAAGGAAAAGTTTAAATGTTAAATGATTTACTATTTGAATTATTTCTTCTGCTTCTTGGATGTGTGTGAATGATCTCACCACCATCGCATTATTTCTTATTATTCTTTATATTATATATATATATATATGGTGGTTTTTTTTTTCTCTCTCTCTATCTCTCTTTTTTTTTTATTTTTTTTTTTTTTTACACAAGAAAAATGATAACTAATTTATAAAATATGTGTGTAGTAATAATAATAATAAAATAAAATAAAATAAAAAATAAAAAAAAAAAAACTGAAAATACTCTCTAGAGACTTATTCTAATTAGAAAGTAAACAATTAAATTGCGCTTATATTTTACAAAAGCTTCATGATAAAAATTTAAAAAACGAAAAGTAAAAAAAAAAAAAAATGGCTGTATCCTTTTCATTTATTTGCTTCATATCATCAATTAATATAAATAAAACTTTTAACGAAAAAATCAAATTTCATTATGATAAACATTAATTTTATAACAATCCAATTGTGGATTATTTTAATGGCAATTTCAAACAAAGACAAAGTTCTAAACTTTTTTTTTTTTTAGTTCTGCTAACAAAATTTTAAGAGAATAATAATAATAATAATAATAATAATAATAAAATATTGTTTTATGAAATTTTATGGTAAAAATTAATCTTTCTAAAAAAAATATAAATAAACTTTGGTTTAGGTTACAGAGAAAGTTTTTATATATAACAAACTCGATTATATATACATACATAATCACTTTTTTATTTTATTTTTTATGTTTTCAATGGGATTTTAGCGACATGTAATTTAAAAAAATCTTAAAAAGACAAAAAAAAATTGATTTTTTTCTAGGCTTAACTACACTTTATAATATTTAGAAAAATATGCAAATAATATTTCATGTAATTTCAAAAACTATGGAACAATATTGATAAAATATAAAAAAAAAAAAAAAAGAGCACTTAAATAACTCTAACATACTTAAATTGTATATGCCATATTATCGGTTTGGACTGAATTGTATATAAATAAATAAATAAAAAAAAAAAAAAAAGAAAGTTTTGATGTTTTTTTTAAACCTTTTCTAACCTAAATATAAATTTGAATTATTTAAAATCATTAATTTTGTATGAAATGTTTTATCGTTGGGAGCTACAGTTTACTGGGATCTGTAAATCGAGATGTTAAAATATAAAAAACAGTTGGAAGAGGTACAAGAGCCAACATTGCCCAATGAAATTTTGTTTCTTTCAATTCTGTTACTGCTATTATACCGTAGGCATGAAATAACCAATGTCCAATTAAAACAACTACATTTCTAACATTAACCAATGTGTCAACTATTAAACTTATTATCGCCTGATCCTTTTTTTGGGCAAAATGTGTGGCGCTTGATATAAGAGAAATTATTATCACAATATATGGAAATGCATAATCTGGAAAATAATTTTTTCACTTTTGTCTCCTTATGGCTTTTTTACTTATACCAAACTAATGAGAAAATTTTTTTTTTTTTTTTTACTTACATATTATTCCACCGAAAACAGCTTGGAAAAATGCTAGAATGGGGTAGAAATATAATCCTGCATAAACTGACATTTTTCCATGTGGACAATATTTTGGCCTGATTAATATCATAACCACAGTTGCTATAGCATAAAATATAAAAACCATTGTGTACCTGAAAAGAAAAAAAAAAAAAGAAAAAATGCAATTAAAATGATATTTATAAGTAACAAATAAATATAATAATTTAAATTCATCATAATTATCATTTTATTGTTATTTATTATCATTATTATTATGAATAAGAGGTGAAATATAATTTTTTTGTCGCATGCAGTCAAATCGTCTTTCTTTTTGGGTTCGAAAGTTTTAAAAATTTTTCAATTCATCTTACAATGGATAAATGGCTTCTTGCGTACAATGCAATGTTTCTTCATAATTTGGAGATGGATTGTGAAATAATGAGTACCAATCTGATAAATATCTTGTTTTGCAAGATGTTATTTGAAAAGAGCCAGTAGGTTCAACTACTAATATCGTTGCTACTGCAGCTATACTGACTTCTACTAATGCCGAGAAATGAATTATCAAAACTTGTTTTGTGAGCCTGAAACAGTATCGAAAATTACATCACCAATCATGCACAATTTAAGAAGACTATAGTTTTGTTGTACTTTCAAAGTAAATTTACTTTTTTTTATAATTAATTTCAATTCAATAATTACTTTTTAATAAAAATTTAAATAAAAATAAATAACAGATAAACTGTCATAATAAATTATCATTAATTAAATTTTTTTTTTTAATTGCTTCAAGTGTTTGATTTTTCTCATTTATATTTTTAAATAATGATTAATAAAATATTTTATACCCTAATCTACGTTTTAATGCTAAAAAGTCGATTGCAAACCAGTGTAAAACTAATGCAACCAAAACCATAAATGCTAAATAAAGCCAATCGTAAAATTCAGGATGATCTGAACAGGGAACACATATTGACGTATTTGTTCTATATCCTCTGGGACAAGCACCACATTCGCTATAACTTCCATTTTCTAAAAGAGTTCGACCGCAATATAATCCAGGACACCGATCCATTCCTTTTTTTTAAAAATATAATTAAACTTTACATTTTACTGCACGATATAATTTTCTTTGAAACTGAAGCAGAAGACATTTTTTGAACGTACGCAAAAAGGCGGGAAAACGTATAATAAAGTCTTGGTTTTGTTACTCTATGCTTTTATTTGAAAAAATGAATACTGTTTGTTTATGGCTACTTAACGAATCCCTAACATGAATTTTAAATTACAGAAACAATTGTTTTTGAAAATTTTATGGGTTTTCATTGAATAAAACAATTATAACTCATGCATTTCTCGTTAATTCTACATTTATAGAAAAGCAATCAGTGATAATTTGCCAAAATATTAGGAATATAAAACATTTGAAGCAAAAATAAAATAAAAAAAATTAACTTTTACATTATTAATTATAATAATTAGTTAGTTTAGTACCAACCATTAATGTTTTATTCAACTAAGGACTCGTTAAAAGACTCTATGATATCTTCATCATCATCTCCACAAAGTTTTATGGTTTTTATTTCACTTTCATTTTCATCTAATTTTAATTTCGACAATGCTCTTGTTCTCGGTCTTCTCGATACGCTTAACCCCCCACTACTACTGGGTGTACTTTTCCCTCCTCCATCTTTAAACGGAGTGTTTTTTAACGATTCTAAACTTTCTGCTTTTTTAAGTAATTCCTCGGGTTCTTCAGATGAACTTTGACCCGTTTTAGATCTTAAAAAGTAACGTTTTTTAGAATCTCCCGTTTTACAATTTTCGTAACTGGTATCAACGGGACCGGGAGTTACACTTTTTTCACTATTGGAATCATCCGAAGCACTTTTTTCCCTTATCCTCCTTTTGCTTTTTCTTTTTTCACTTTGTCGAAGCGATTGTTCATTTTCCGCCGGAAGTTCTGGACTCCTTTTATTCACCACCTCGCATATTATAATGTCATCCTCTTCATCCACGCTAACGTTTTCCGGTTCGGACAATTTGCTGGATGATTGTGATCTTGATGATGAATTAGATGATGACACGTTCAAATCCCCAAATTGAGAAATTTTCATTTTTTTCGTTTTCGGTTCTTCTTCACCGTTTTCATCCATTAATTCTTTATTGGGTGAATCTTTTTCTCGGTGCAAGGATTTGTTTGTATTATTTGTACCATCTTCAATTTCACTCGTCGTACTATTTTCTTCGCCTTGTGGCATCACCAAAGGTAATTTACGAGGACTTTCTTTTAATTCTGGTTGTAAACAAACATTTTCATTATTTCCTTCTATTTCAATAACATCACCATTATTTTCTAACGGTTCTTTTCCACAACCAATTTCTTGAAATTTTTCTCTTTGATCATCATCCAACTTCGCCATTACTTTTTTCCATTTCAACATCACATTCTTCTCCCGGAATGGTTTCATCAACATTTTCAGGAACTCGAGAACGATCCTCCTTTTCTTTTTCCCTCTCTTGAACCTCCTCACAATTATCACCTCTTTCAATTTCTACTTCTTCGTCATTACCATTTTCTGATTCATTTTCGACTCCACCATCAACATCTTTCGCCATTAAATTAATCACTTTATTATTATTCTGTTTCTTTCGATTGTTTTCTTCGGAAATGAATATCAAACCGTTCGAATATTGTTGATGAATAACGGCTGTGATCGAGTTTAATGCAGACGAACAAAATGCAACGATTTCCAAACAATCGTCATTTTGCCCGTTTTTAAATAAACGTACGGCGTGGTGAATGGGTGGCGGCCATTTTGGTGATGGCTGAACGACGAGTTCTAATAAAACCGAATACAATTCTTTTCTACAATATGGTAAATAATAGGGTGGTAAAACTTCGACGAATGAACTATTTTGTATATTTATAAGCAATTTCAATATAGTTTCTTGCAAAAACTGAAACATAATAATAATAATAATAATAATAATATAAATTTCAGGTAAAAAAAAAAAAAAAAATTTGAACTCATACCTTTTGATCTTCCGGTTTTAAGAGAACGCCACAAAATTTAAGAAAATATTGGAGTGCCTTAAGAGCAGCATAACAAAGTGAACCATCTTCGAATATTTCAACTTTTAAATTAATTTTTTTCTTTTTATCCGGGTATTTTTGTTTTGATTTTTTCCCTGAAAAAAAGTAATAATAATAATAATAATAATAATAATAATTGAGAAAAATTAAAGAGAGAACGTTAATCGATTTAAACGAGTACCTTTTAACGTGATTGAATTTTTTTTACATTCAATATCTTTGATTATCTGAGATATGATCAAATTTGATATTTTATCGATTGAACTACCGCATTTTGTGGCAACTAACCAATTGCATAAAACATCATATGCAGATATTCTCAAACTGTTAAAAATGCTTTCGTTCAACGTTAAGAAATTAGTTTGCGTCCATTCTAATGTTTGTTTGATTAATTTGTAAATGAGGTACGAATATGGGAGTAACAAATTCCTACAAGTTGTTATTAAAGAATTTAATAAATTGAGGAGAGCATCGTGAATCTCTGGCAAAACATTTTTAAGAGAAATAATTGATGTTGTTTCATTTTTTCCTAAAACTGACGGATTGACAGCCAATCCTCTACAAACGAGTTCTAATATGTGATCCGTTGGAATGGATTTCAAAGTAGGATAACTACATCTGCAACATGAAAAAACTATTTAGTTATTTAGACATTTAAATATATAAGTAATCTTAATGATGTAAAACTTACAAGAGCATTGAATTGAGAACTTTGCAATGATTATATAACAAATTTGATAAGTATTGAAAAGATGGATGTTTATTTTCGCAGGCGTACTCAAATTTCTTCGTATCGTAAGTCTGGAAAAAACAAGAGATTTAAAAAGTACATTCAACAATGACAATTATAAATTATCCACATATTGAAAGTCTTAAGTATTAATTTAAAAATGGTACCTGCAGTTCTTCGATATCAACAAATAAATCATTTAATATCGAATGACAAATATAAATGTTAGAAGTGAATTGATTTTTCCAATTGTTTTGATAATTAATTCCATCATTTCCACCGCCTCCGAGGCTAGGTAACAAAGCTAAACAATCGGAAACATCACCAGATATCTTTTCATTTTTTTTCATTAAGTTTTCTAAATGCTTCTTAATGTTTTCCTTTTCGATCGGTGGGGGGAGGGAGGGAAAAAAAAATTCAAGATTACATTATAAAAAAAAACTAAATAATCACACCTTAAAGGAATAATAATTGTACCTGAGATGATCCGCAGGGACCTCTGTAATATAAAAAACAAATTTTAGCACAATTCCATCCATTTGGTAAATCACTAAAATGTTTAAAAAAATGATCGAAAAATCTATTCGATATAAAAAATGACACGCTTTTATTAAGCTCTGGAAACCTGTATGAAGTTTTTAAAAGCGTACCTGAAAATTAATTTCACACGAATTAAAAATAGGCATTTTTTTTTAAAACAAAAAAAAAAAAAATCAAAACAAATTTACTAACTTAGTAAATCTACAACGTAGTTAGCATTCTCGGAGGATGAATCAGTTTTACAACAATTTTGCATCCAACTGACACAATATTCGGAAAAATTATCATCAGAACAATTAGGTAAATAATCGATGAGAGATTGTAAACCTGAAAGTCTTGTCGATGATGAATTTAAATGAGAATTTATCAATTTTATATCGGAATCAATTGAATTATTATCATTCATCTGAAAATGAAAAATAATAATAATAATAATAATAATAATGACCACGCTGTTAAACGGTCGGTTTTAGAGGTTAAATTTTTTTTTTCCTTTTTTTTTTTTTAAATAAAATTTATCGTTAGATGATCGATTCACGAAGCATTTTTTTATAATGGGATTCTTTACATAAGTACAAGTAATAAACAATTTATAAATAAATTACAATAAAAAAGGAAAATTTAAATTTATTACAAGTGGAAAAATCAACTTTTTTTACCTTTTTAATTTAAAACAGAATAATAACAAGTTTAAAACTACAGAAAAAAGATTAATACGAAAATAAAATGAACGATTTTTTTAAAATTGTAATTTTAACGTAACGTTTAAAATGACTTTGAGAATGAAAAGAAAAAGAAATTAAATAATTTAAAATTTCTATTGTAATTACGTTATAACCGTTCCATTTTAAAAATTACTTTTACCAAGAGAGAGAGAGAGAGAGAGAGAACCTTTATTTAATCGAGAAGGCTGTGGATTTGTACAGTAATCGATAACATAAATATGAAATATTTTACTAAACATAAAATCAAAAACTTTTTTTTTTTTTATAATTAGTTTTTTTTTTTATTATTATTATTATTATTTTTTTTTTTTTTATGAATATAATAGAATCATGTAAAATAGTAAATGTTTTTATTATCGTTTAACATATATATTACAGTGTCATTTAATAGCAACCGGTATATATATTTATTAATAAAAATAATTTTCCCACATACATATCACCTTTTGTCAACATGATTAATTTTTATATGTCAAATAATAATAATAATAATAAATTTTTATTTGATGATTAATACAATTAAAATATTATCATTATTATTATTATTACTTTAAAATGGTTATTTTACACCACTTGTTAAAATTTAATGTTTTTAAATATAAAAAAATTTTTTTTTTTTTATTTATTGTAGGCCATATCATTTTTAAAAAATATATTGTTTAAATACAAAAAAAAAAAAGTATGAAAGTGAGTAGTTTTCCATTAAATAAAGTTATAATGAATGAATGATTGATTGATTGATTGATTGAATGAATGTTTTTCTGTTTGAAAAGGGTTTTTTTTTTTTTTTCTTCTTCTTTTAGATGCCTTTTTTAATACAGTATTAAATTATCTTGAAAATTAAAATGAATGTATTCAATGGTCAAAATGAAATCGAAGTTTACGATGGAGATTTTCCAGAAGCATCCTCATGGAATACTTCGTCCATTGAAAATTCTCTCAGTAATTTGGATATTAAAATGGACAGTAATTTTGCATGGTTGTTGTGTTCTTTGTTATCGGGAATAATTTGGGTCACATACATTAGTTATTATCATTCAAGGGTTTTGGGTTATATATTAACTAAAATATTAAATAGACATTTTATTGATAAAAATGGTTACATGAAAGTAGGTTAGTAAAATTTATTTTAATTATTATTCTTTCTTGAAAAAAAAATGCCTGAAATCTTGTGTTAAATTATTTGTTATTGATAAACAATTTCAGGTTCATTTACATGGAGTGTGTTAAGCGGAAAAATTATGTTTAGGGATATTATATATATGACAAATGATTACACTCTAAGGATTCAAGATGGCTGGTTGATATTCAGGTGGTGGAGGTCTTATGTTCCCAAACATTTGTCAGAAGATTTGTCTCATTCCGACACAAGATTATCAGTTTTACTAAATGGTTTCGAATTGCACATGTATAATAGAACAGATGTTTATGCTAATTTGGAAAGAATTTTCGGTTTAGAACCACAAATAAATACTAAAGACGAGTTTGATAATATTAAAGAAGGTATGTTTTCCCCCCCCCCCCTTGTTAATGTAAAGTACAGTTATTCTCGTTTTTAAGGTAAATGTAGCCTACATCTCCCGATTTAACATCCTGTTAAATTTGTCTCTTTATGTTTTTAGATAGGGAAACGGGAGTTTTGACCTCAAAGAATAACGAATCACCAAATTTAACGAATAATTCATGGAGGGATTTGTTTCCTGTGATCAAGTTGGACGTATCATCAGGTCGGTTGGTATTTGGAAATCGTTTAATTCCCACAACATTATCGGTGAATGTAGAAGAAGCTCATTTTGTTTATTCCATAAAACCGGCTGCATCTAAATTGGATTATTTTATGCATATATTAAAATGCGTAGCAGAAAATTTTAAAGTTATTTTAGCTCCGAGTCCGAAATACACAGGAATGATTGACGATCCGCCTCGTTATATGGGAGAAGGATTTGTTATTTTTTCATCAAATAAAGTCGATTTATATTATTACATGGACCAACCGGGTATCGTACCTGAAAAACCTGAAATGTTAGAATTGGCGAATGGCGATTTTGTTGAATCCGCTCCCCCCATTTGGGGTATCGATATCAAATGCGAAAAAGGTACGGATTTTAGTTACGGACCCTGGGCTGATAGACAACGAGAGCATTTGTTTAAATTTTTTTTTCCCAACAACTACCAACCGATGAGAGTGACAAAACCTGCTCGTCCGGGAGAACTAAGACAAGTTCAATCGTTTGATATTCGATTAAGCACTCAAAACGATGCAACGATCGACATTTTGTTTTCGAAAAATAAAGAAACGAATGCCGTACATATAAATATCGAACCTGGATCTTATTTGGAAATCACGCTACCTTGGGTTGTTCAGTCGGAGGGTTATTGGACCAAAATAACAGGTCAATTGTTACACGTCGAAGCATCTACCAGTTTACCTTATCGAACGCTGTTAGAAAGTGAAACGTTAGAATTTAACGTAAAGTGCCATTATCCGTTAAAATGGAACGATCATCAAGAGTTATTTTTCAGTTTTACCGGTTGTAAAACGACGGCTCATTTAATTTATGCTCACAAAGAATTTTTTCAAGATCTCATTAATGATTGGTCATCCAAGGCAGCTCCTGATCTTCTTTATTTCGTTCCCTATACCTGTAAAGTCAGTTGGGTTATGAAAGAATTTGAAATCATAACTTCTTGCAATAATTACAATTGGATCGATTGCTCTTCGCAGAATCAGGAAAACACTCACATCGCATTTTCCGGTGAACTATTCGACCTCTCTTTCGATCTTCCATTTTCCGAATTTTTACCTCAAGTAATTCCCCTCCGCTTCTGGATTCAAGGTGAAAGTGTGGATATGTCATTGTTCATTCCCGACGTTCAAACGAGCCGAGACATATTGTTTGCTTTGGACGAAAATGCAAAAATTTTAGATAGGGATGGAAATGTAACGACGACGAAAAAAAATTATGGGAAAAAATGGAGACGCGTTTGCCAAAGAAACTACGGATGGATAGACTGTTGGTCTGTGCCAATTATTGCTATCAGTATTAATTACGTTTTTCACCCTCAACCACCGTTGGGTCCCCCTCCTCAAGCGGATATCACGACTCCCGAAAAGGAAGAGATTTTATTGTCTCCCATGAGAATACCACGATATAGAAAACCTCAAGTTTTTCACTGGACTCAATCAAATAACGATGGTAAAAAATTTAATCCTTTAACTTTGGCTCCGGATAAAATCACCGTCGACCTCGAAATAGGTTCTTCGGTTCTTTTGGTGTACGGATCCTGGATTTTAAATTTTATACATTTGAAAGAGAATATATTTGGTGATTATCAAAAGTTTACCGACATGCAGCTACATAAGACTACTTCGACTGGTTCGACCGCGAAGGAAACTAATAAAAAAAATAATGATGATGGTAAGAAAGAAAATTTCGATTCTCGTCACTATCGACCGTTTGAAGTTGTCCTCTCTATTACCATGCACGACATTCAAGCTCATTTGATGAAAAACTGTACGGAAAAAGATCCGCCCTGTCCGATGATTTTATTAGAAAGATTCGGTTTGGAAATGAAAAAAAGCTACAGAGAAACTATACTTCAGGTCGTTTTATCGCCGAGTATCTTAATTATATCCGACACGTTCACTCGTCCCAACAAAGAATCCCACATCGGTCAAGGTCATCTAATGCTTTCCGGTTTGCAAATTCGTGGGCACGCCATGTTTAGCGACGAAGGTCGATCTTTAGATGAAGAAACAATAGAATACGCTTGGATGCTGGAAATCCAGCTGGGAAAATTGAGCGGGAAATTAACTTTGCCGCAACTTTATCATTTGGTATCGAGTCTGGAAACGTTGGTATTTCTCGTTCAAGATGACGAGAATACTTTAAAAAGTCCCGAAAGACCTCGAACGTGCATTCACGGAACGGACATAAATCCTTGCGTACATCAAGAAAGTAAAAAATTATATATTTGTCCCTCGACGGAAAATATAAAATATCGCATGACGAGAGTTTCCGTCGATGCCGTCGATTTGTTTTTAATAGAGAGTGGAACGGCCATTCATTTGTGGTTGTCACCCGTGAGAGTTTCTAATTGTAATTTACACGGACAAAGAATAAAATCTGGAGTGTCGGGACTTATTTCCTACATTCAAATCCGACAATTTATTTGCACCGGCTCAAATCATTCGAATCAAAGCAATACGAATACCAACACCAGCAGCAGCGGCGGTCGTTCTCAGTTGGGCATTATTAATAACAAGGGAAATATGGACGAATTGTGGCTTGAAATCGGTTCTGTAACATTTGGACCCCTGATATTCGAGGCAGCTTTATCATTGACCGCAGTCGAACAAGATCTTCAAACGATACAACAAAAGTTTTTAAAACTTCACGATGAGGAAACCAAAAGACTTTGGTTTTTATGGCCGCGAGAAGGGGTTGATGATAGCGTTGAAAGTTCCACGAGGAGGTGCGGATGTATCGGAGGCTGTGCTTTTTTCGGTTCCAACAGAAACGGTAAGAAATTTTTCAAGCCGAGTCAGCAGGATATTCAAGATGGAATAAATATCGCCGCGTTTCGGATAAACGAACCTCCGATTGATCCAGGTTTCGGACAAAGCATACTCCACGAAAATCAACTCGTATTTCACACAGCTCCCTACGATTCGTCGTGTCAAGCCGTCGTACAAGATTCTTATTTTCATCATAATAAAACCCCTCGATTTTCCTATCACAAAATACAGTCGAATGAACGGGTCGGCAAAGGTGGAATTTTCGGATATAGAAAAGTCGAACCGTGTAATTCGACGGCCGTGGATTCCGTTAACGTGTCACAAAGTCCCGTGGCTGATAAAAAAGTGATTAGACGTAGGTTTTCTTGCACGTCTGCCGGAAATTCTAAATCAGGTATAAAAGAAGTACCGTATTTTAGATTGATTGAAAGCAGGACGGGAAGTTTAAAACCCGTGAGAAGAGAACCCGAGAAATTAGTGCTCAAAGTGCCTGAATTAGATTCACAACCGAGAAACAGTGCATCCGATTCGAAATTGTCCGTCGATTATTTTCAACAGCCGACGGATAATTCAGAAAATTCGAGCAAATGGACCGACGCTCTTCATTCATTTTCAACGTCTCTCGAACTTGAAGATAATAAAATGGGGAGAACGTTTTCCATAACAAGCGAAAATCAATCCGAAGTGTTTTACTCGGCGGATGAAGAAGTGGTCGCGGCTAATTATTCCAGTTCGAAACATTCGATTTCGGATAATTTATCCAGCAAGAACGACGTCGAAATCGGACCCACGAAATCAAAATTTAATAGCGAATCTAATATTTTCCCACCCGGACTTTATTCCAAACCGAATCTTTCCCTATCCGGAAGCTCGAGTCGAGTTAGACTCATTAGTCATTCTAGCGAACATGAAATCAACACGCCTGAAAAAAAAAGTCAAACTCTATCGAAACCCGAATCCGATTTGGGTTTGTCTTTTATCGGCGACTCATCGTCCAGTCCGAGGTCCGTAGGGGGCGCTCCTGTTTTTCAAAGCCTCTTCGAAAGAAATTTAGGAGAAAAAATTTTAACGGACTCGGATACACCCTCGATATCAAGCACTTCGTTTATATCGGCCATATCGTCGCAGGAAGATAACGGTTTAGTGAATTTACACATGCAAATCAATAGACCCATCATCGAAGCTCCGCTTCTCATGTCCAGCTACATAAATCACTTGTCTCAACTCGGATGCGATAATTGGAATCAATGCACGGTCCCTTCCGGATGTGACGTGTATGCCATACCCGGAGCTCTCTTTCAAAAAACTCAAGATGGTTTACTCTTGTACAAGGGTGGAAAATACACTCCGAATTTCACGAAAATAAACGAAGGATTCACTTATTTGAAAATGATCAAAAGATGGAGCGAAGATCAAATTTCGAGTCCTCCGCTCTCGGCAAAAACTCCGACGACTCATCCGTACAATTGGGACTACACGAATTGGGATAAAAAGAGCGAGGAAGATAATGTCGTGTTGGAAGAAGAAATGTTATCCACGTCGTGCGAAACGGGAAGTCGAACGACGATAATAGTTAAATTTAAAGGAGATTTCGATATTATTTTGACTCCTTTGGTTCTCGAATCCCTTCAGAGATTCATAGACAGTTTGATTCCGACTGTTAGTTCTTTGCATGCACTCACTGTGATTAATCACCTTCACTTCGAATGCATAAAAAAGGTTAAAGACGCCAACATATTGAAAAAGGAAGAATTTTTAACGAATTTATCACCTCTCAGAACCGATACCATTATAAGGGACAACAGCAAAACCGTTAATTCCGTCGTGCAATCAAATTTATATCAAGAAAATATATGTTCTCAAACGCAGGGCGTGATAGCTTTGCCTAGAATAAATATCACTCTGTTGCAAGCATCCGTAGTCGAAGAATTGACACATTTTTCGGCTTTGGACAATATTCAAGATTTTGCTTGCGTGTCCATTTTTGCCGTGTCCATCAATACGGCAACCGTCAAATTTCATTTGGAAAAAAAAGCCAAAGAAATCATTCAAACTTTTGAGCGTCCCATTGTGACTCCTAGTCAAAAGAAAAATAGAATTTTAAGGGGTGCAAGACCTCTTTCCACGGGGGGCCAGTACGTACCTAAAGAGACAACTTTCGGCGATCCTGTTTACATCGAATCCTCCGAAAAGCAACAAAACGAAACAACCGTTATTCTTAATTTGGGTAAAATTCACGCACAACTAAGAAGACTTTCGAACGATTCCTCAATTTTGAAAGATGCTGTCGTCACTGCCATTCCAGTTCAGTATTCTAAAGTAATGTTTCTATGTAAAAAACTCTCGTCTCCTTTATCCCTCTCTAAGTCCAAGGAGTCTCCTGCAGAAATGAGTTTCGATGATAATATTTTTAACGACGATAAATTGGGTTTCATTATGTTTGAAACTGGGTTCGAGGGCGTTTCGATAAAAGTCGTAAAACAAGAACATTTCGAAAAGGAAGCAAAAGACACGGGAACGGATTCTTCCGAAAAGAAAGAAATAAAAAAAGAGTCTTACGAAAAGCTACAGCAACCTCTCGTGCCCGTTCACGTCAATCAACACGATTTACTATCGAATGCGATGAAGTTTTCAACTCGAACAGCAAATTCCCTAAATAATTTTATCGAAAGTAAAGCTTTGAAGAGTAAATCAATCAGTAAAGTTTTCGAAAGCAGCAACGCCAAAAATAGAAACGAAGAGAAAAGCAATAGTAGCGGAACGGCCATTAATACTGTAGAAAATTGTCAACAGCAATCAAATACGTCATCTTGCGTTATCGAATTGGCAACAATTTGGTTTAATTTTGCTGCTCCTCCGAGAACTCCCATTTCCCGAAAAATGAATTACACCAGGTACGGTAGATTTTCTCAAATTTTCTTTTTTAATTTCATTTTTCATTACTAAAATGAAGTTTTTCAATTCATTTCAGGTTGGATTGGAATCTTTTAAGCACGGCATCACCGGCTATTAATGCTTGGATGAATCCTAGCAGTCGATTTGCATCCAGATTACTACACATGTTTCGATGTTCCTATCGGCGCTCGTCTGGAGTTATTTCTTGTTTAATGGCGGAAGCTTTGGAAGTCCCAGAGATCCACATTCCGAAAAAAAGCAGATACGGACGTCTGACACCTCTGGCAAAAACATTACAAGAAGATCCATCCTGTCAATTATGCAGTGCCCTTCGAAAATACGTGTTACAAACTGATCTAACCGCAATAGAAGCCAACCTGACTGAAAATCATTTGCCCATGCTATCAACGCTAAGGCAAGGAGTTATAGTTTTAAGTCGGCAATGGAAAAATGTTTTGTACACGCCTTTGCTCTTGGATCACAATTACAAGACACGTCACCTAAAACCTTTGAACGTAACTTTTGCCATGTCCGAATCAGAAGACGATATCATTGCTACGGACGGAGAGAATTCTAATGAAGATAACGAAATTACGGACGAGTGTGCCGTTTTAATTAATACCGAGGGTAGATCTGTAATCAACAACTTTAGGGGATCGAAAAAAAATGGAGGTTTCAGTTCGAATACGGAACCGGATTCAAATTTTTTAACATCACCATTTTCTTCGTGTCAACAAGAGAAAAAAGGACAATTACCCCCTCCTCATATGCCTCCTTCATCTCGTGCCAGTATCGTATTTCCAATTTTAAATATGAATCATCCGTTTCCGTCGGAAAATAAATTTTCCATTCATGAATACAATCAAAATATACCGAAAGACGTTAAACAAGCGGAGCAAAAACTCGGTTCGAACGGAAGTTCTTATTCGAATGGAATACCGGGTAGCAATCATTCTTTGATTAGCTTGGAGTCTCATCCGACGGAAGATTTGTACGCTTGGATGGCTAAACAACAAGAATTTATGAAAGAAGAAATAAATTCAAATGTTAAAAATTCTGTTGATTCGAACGTTCACAATGAAGTAAGAGATAACATGCCGAGTCCACTCAGCGGATATAATTTTTATCCGGTTCATGATTCACTTTGCCTATTAGACGTTCACCTGATATTCGAACCGTTGTTATCTGCTCTCGGTGTGATGCCTCAGCAAATGATTAGAAACATGAAAAGTTCCTCTAACGCAGTGTTCGATACGTGGGGCTCTAATTTGTCGTTGGTGGCTGCAATGGAAGGCATGAGGGTTGATATTGTAGTGAGTGAAAATGGTAAACCGGGAGAAAGGAAAAGGAAAAAACTAAAGAATAACGGTGGAAAATTGGCAATGGATATATCTACAACAATGCCGGCGTTTATTTGCGAGCGGATAGGGGTAGAAGTGGACGTGAAAAAACTCGCAGACATGACCGTGGATGATTTAATTCAAAAACAAAACGTACTATACATTTCAAGAGGTCAATTGAAAAAGCACACTACGACAAAATTAAATTTCAGCATAAACATCCATTATATTTCCCAGCAAGTAAACATGCCTCTGCTCAGACTCTTGCACCAGATAAGCAGCATGTACCAAAACGTCAAAGATACGCAAATGGAATTGAAAGAGCAAAACCTCAAAGGAGCGCATCCGACAAGCATAACACTTTCCAAAGATCATAAAAACGAGTCTTCTTCTGCATCTGATCTCCAAGATCATTTCTCTACTTCTATCGTCGATCCAATCATAAAAACGAACATTTACACCGTGCACACATCAATGAGCAATCCCAAATCGACCCTTTCACCTTCCTCTTCTCTTTTGTCCAGACCGCAAACGTTGGCTCAAAAATTACGGTCGACGACAAAAAGTGTCAAAGGTTATATGAATTTAAGTGATACTGCAATAACTCCGATATTTCCGAACGCAGGCGAAGATAAATCAATCAAACCTCAGTGTTGGAAAACTCTTTATTTTTTACTAGACTTGTATGCCACCATGCCAGAAACTAAAACGATATCGCATAAATTTTCTGCCGCGCCAGACGTTCTGGACGGTCTTAAAAATAAAAAATTTGAAATAAAAACAAGCGATTTCGACATTGAAAAATGTTTTCAAGAACGCGTCAACGTAAGCGGATCCACTCCGATCCCGTCGGAAAAACCGAGAGAACTAAGTTTTTTTACCACGGGCGAACGAACAAAACTTGTTGTGTTCGGAGTTGCCAGAATTCATCGCACCAAACTTTTAGCCACTTTAAGCGGTTTAAAATTGGAAGCGGAAATAACGAATTTGCATTCGAGCGTCACGTGTCGAAAAAAAATGAAACCCGAAAGTCTAGAGTGTTCTCTCACGGGTCAAATAGGGCGAACGATGATTGTTTTACTTGAAGGAGTTGCTCCTAATCAACAAACGGTCGTTAAAGTAACGGTTGGAAAATCGCAAGCGCTTTATTCGAGTCTATCGAAAAAATCCAGAGACAAAAATTCAGGTTTACTAACGGTTGGAGCTATCAATATAGATATTCCTCAACACCCGGTCGTTTTGCACGGAATGATGACGAGAGGAAGTAAACAATTGTCTTCGACGCTTCAAGAATTGGGAGTTACGAGATCGAGTAGATTGATGCGGGGTACAACAATCGATGAAACGGATACGACGACCAATTATTCATTCAATAACTTTCAAATAAACGAACCCGTAAAAGATTTGGAAACGAAACCTTCGGCGACCTCGAGTTTTTTGGAACCGTTAGTAATGCAATTTTCTATTATTCTTCAAAGTTTGAGCATCACGGCAGCACTTTTACCATCCCTTCAAGCCCAGTACAAAATGGATCAAGTTAACAGCTCGGGAGTTACCGGAAGTAAAGCCAAATTTACCGTTGACCTGCCCAAGCATTCTTTAAGCTTCACCACGAAACTTCAAGTTGTCGAAGCAAACATTCCCTCTGAAGCAAGTATCGATTTGCCTAAAGTCCACGTTTCAGCCGAATACGTTCAAGATGGGAAAAATAGCGGGGATTCGAAATTGATCGACGGGGTTGTTTTAAGAGAAGGAAGTTATTTGAATGCGACGGCCGACATTGGAAAATTTGAACACTCTCTGACCACGGATCTTTTAAATCATTTAGTTTTCGTACAGAAGGTTTTCATGAAGGAAGTCAACGAGGTTCTTCAAAAAGTTTACGGAGGAGAAAAAGTCGTACCTTTGTGGCAAGAAGAAGACGATTCGAGTTCTTCGTATTTAAAAAAAATTTTATTTTCTTTAATAATTAGAATAAAAAGGATTCAATTGACGGCGACAACTCCTACCAATTCTGCCGTGAGATTAGAAACGGGGGCCGTTGAATTTCAATTATCCAATCGCGTGGAAAATGTGTCTGGATCCGCCGCACAGCCGAATCCTTACATGAAAATATTCGGCAAAGCTCAAGTCGATATAAATTTAAGTTTGGGCCAACTTTTGAAAAATGCAATTTTCGAAGAAGCCGAACCTGAATTTCAACAATATGCGTTTTTCAAAACCAGAGTCGGATTAAGGAACGCTTTTCAAGGGGAAATGATTCAGGGCGAAGACAAAGAGATTGTTTTAATTACCCTGAGAAGACCTTTGGTATACATACAACCCATGGCGGTGGACAAAGCAATATTGGTTTGGTTAAATTATAAGAACGCATACGATTATTGGAACGAACAACGCAGTAATTTAAATAAAGAAGTTCTCACGGCTACTCAACAAGTATTTGAAAAAGTACCCTTTAGTCAATTATCGAGCTCACCGTATTTAGGCACGCTGTTCTTGCAATTGACCGTCGATGATATGGGCATTTGCCTACCACTCCAACCTTTACCTCTTACTTCGTGGGGTTTGAATAGAACACTGTACGCTGAGCCAGAGTCTAGAGCTGCTGTTGTCATTACGCTTGAATCTACGAGTATTTCGGCTTGCAGTTCGGGGTCTCTTGTAAGCAAAGGTCGCTTCGTCGGCTTGTGCATACGTTTCGCCGACGATTTTGAATCTAGTTTAGATGATTGGAAGCCCGATATGAACGACTCGACAATTATGAACCTTTGCGTTGTATCAGAAGGCACTTATGAAGTTTGCAGTCGCACCACAACTCAAAAACAAGGCAAAGAAAATGCAAAGTGGTTTTTAAATGTACAATGGCAAATGGAGGGCGTAGACATTCACTTAGACGTGAACGTAGGAAAACAATTGTCGGCATTGGGTCACACGCTAACAATGCTGACCGGCTCTACGGAAGAAGAAGATTCGGCTACTTTAGATTACGATAGCGACGAACCCGATGGAATTAATATTTCTCTAGATAACGTTTCTCAAAAGCGGTACAGAAATGTCATCGGAAGCTTACCAAGGTTTATTTTCGATCCATCGATAGATTCGAAACATCGAACGAAGCTTATCGAAAAAGAAATGCTCGAGCAAGCCAAAATAATAAACGATTTACGGTCTTTGGGAGCATCTTACGGAACGATCGAACAAGAAGTAAAACGTTTGCAAGAACTTGAAGCTTTAGTTTACAAAGATTTCAGAAGGGATATGATTCAAAAGTTAAGACGTCAGAGTATGAGAACTTCCGCCATAAAAGATAAATTCGGTTTGAGTAAAAATTCAGCATCTATTAGATCCCGTTCATTTATAATTCCTTCGCCTACTCCAGAAAGCGCATTGGAAGCGGATGGAATGGGTGAAACAGGATCTGGTAGCGTTAAATCGGAAATATCATCCAATAGTTATGATACTCCGCCAAAATCCGGACCTTCTCGTTCGGCTTCGCTCCGAGTTCAAGAAGTAGGGAGTCCTCGTGTAACTTTTAACGAAATAAGAAACATTTGTAGACAATCTTCGTATCCCAGCGCTGATTCGGATATTAGTTTGCCTCTTGATTCCGAATGGGGAGAAGTGGATCACATATTTGTAGATGGAGAAAAAGTTCAGTTGCGTAAGAAATATTTAGATAACAGCTACGAAGGTTCGGACGGCTTAGATGACACTCCCACGACTTCAAGTCCGGTTCTTCCATCTCATTCTCCCGGCAATCAAAAACCTCAAGAGCCGAACATCGATTTCGAACTTGATGTAAAAGTTTTTATCAATAGTGGAAAATGCATGCTTCACACAAAAGATTTGGTTAGAGATGACGAATTGAAAATTTCCAATAGAATGAAAAAAGAAAGAAGTTGTTCTGGCGGCATGTTCGATTTCCCCCCGACCAGCCCGAATACAGCTCGCCGAAACAAAGAAAAACAAAGCGGTTCTTCTAGTAGATTAAGATTCGCACAGGGCAACACTGCACAAATCGTCGATTTAACTTTCTTTCACATACCGGGTTTAGACGTGAAAGTCCATTACGAATCCAAAATAGAAAACGAAGAAAATTCTTCACCTTATTTGTCGATGGAAGAAAGTTTGGCTTCTCCACTACAATACCGAAAATCAAGCAATAAAAAAGCGAGTTTATTTGCCTGGATAACACTTCAAAGCATTCCTCAAGAGACGATAATCAGTCCTCACATTCTTGATTTTCTAGAAAAAACTCTTGAACCTATACCATCTTCAACCGTACAAAATAAAGAAGTTTTCTCTTCTTCCGGGCACGCAATGTTTACCATGGACGGAGAATCGGCATGGGATGCTAATTTAACAACGAACAATTACGTTTACGCTTCTTTTCCGGTGGATGTGATGGTTTATTTTCACATGGAACCTTCGACTTTTAGATTTTCTTGCCTTCCCGTGTCTAGAGTAGAATGCATGCTACAATTACCTTCGCTTGATATAGTTTTTTCATCGAAACGAGCCGAAGAAGAATATCAAAATGAATTCGGAGAAAATTATTATAAAAATAATTCGAGTAATATTTTAGAATCCGGACTTCCACCGTTTGCGATCGGAGGTTTGAGTGTGACGGGTTGTCTCTCTAATTTTTCACTGCACATATTTCACCCCTACGGAGGTAGCAAGAAGTCTGGAATTAAAGAAGCTCAATGGTCGCCCTTAGCGGATAGCGAAAGAAAAGATTCGCTGTCCGTTAACGTTGAATTTGTCAAATTTCATTTGTCTAGAACGCGAAAGCTGAATTTTCAAACCGAACAACCGAGTAAAAGTTCTAAAACGTCAAATTTGGATCAAAGTCGCGCCACAATACGTTTTTCAACATTAGTAGACATTGGTTCGGCTTCATTTAAATACGACATGAGAAGGTTAACTGAGATTTTAGCCTTTCCGAAAGCCTGGTACAGACGAACAATTGTGAGAAGAATGTTTCTCGGAGAATTACATATCAGTTCTAATTACAGCGAAGAAGGAAACATTTCAAATTCAAGTTTAGAAGAAGAAGCAGCAGCAGCAGCGGCAGCAGGAGCTCTTTTACAAAAAGGTGAAAGTAGTAGCAGACACTTGATTGAAGGTAGCGGTCAACGTAACAGCACTTCCTCGAATAGATCACCCATGTCGAATAGAGATAAAGAAAATCTCAGACTGAATTTAAACGAACCTAATAAAAAATCTCGCGAAAACGAACGGAAAACAGTTTTGGATGGTTCATCGAATAATTTTTCCGATCAGAATTCAAGGTCTTCGTGGGAAACCCTTGTCTTATTTGCCGTCAATTTTACAAAGCTCAGAGTTCAAATGAACATGGGAAACGTTATGGGGAACGTTATGTGGCTGACGAAAGATTTTCATTCGGAAGGAAGGTTGTCGATCGACAGCACCGGACATAAAAACATGTACATCGGCTTGGGTTTAGGAGTTTGCAGCCTCGACGCAAAAGGCGGTATCGTCGGCGGAGCCTTAGATTTAAGCACAATCGATACATTTGTACATATTAAAGAAGATCCCGGTACGGAACCAGATCACACTCTCGGACTTCGACTTTTCGCACTAGAGGTTAGATTAGATTACATGGGTTCAGGAGTGCTCATGGCGAGAGTGAGTTCTTTAAACGTTACACTGAGGGACAAGTGGAAAATTCATAATTATAAAAATTCGGATTCGTTCTTGGCAACGAAACGACCTGCTATGATATTCGTTCACGGAGATTTAGGATGGGACCAATTGCAAATAATGATATCCAAATCGACGACGGCGGACATGTTAAAAATGTTTTACAAATTGGAAGAATTTTTTTCGCAGCAATTTCAAAGTAGCAAAAGAGTTTTTTCAAGTCTACAACCGAAAGCACAAGGAGGTGTCAACAGTTCGAGAAAAAAAACGAATAGGAAAAAACTTTACAGCACGGATTCCGGGACGATGCCGCAATGGTCTACTCAAGATCCGAATCATCACAGGCACTGGCAAAACGTTTTATCGTACATTTCCGGTTTTAAATTATCTACTTTTAACATTCCTCTACCGCTTACGGGTACCATATTGGGAGGAACTATGGAACTCCGCGGCTCCAACATATCACTAGCCTGTTTCCACGGTATTAATTTTAAAGCGAAATCTTGGGCACTTTTCTCGTTAAAAGAACCTTGCATATCGTTTGCGACGGAAGCGCAAGAAATTCAATCGGCGTCGAACGCGGAAAAAATGGACGTACACGTTTCGCAAACTCTAACGTTCAGTTTGGGAATGTCGTTAAAGCACCCCAACGCTCAACACACGAGCATGGCGACCATATGCAGAATGAGTAGAAACATAGCTTTTCCGCCTCAGTATAAAACGCTTCAAGAATGGTTCAATTACGCATTCGCGACGAGCGAAATAGATTCCGTGGAAAGGTTTCCTACTTTGGAACGAGAACGGGGCACGGACGAGTTATCGATAGACGATCAAAAGCGAAGTAGAACAAGTACAAAAGTACAAGATTTTAATCACACAAGAGAAGACATATTTGCACTTCCTGCAATGCAATTACATTTGAAAACGGAACATTTGCAATCGGTCGAAACTCCCGACAGTTCAGGTTAGAATCACGACATTGAATTTCTTTCCCTCTCCTTCCCCCCCCCCCGATCGTTTTAAAAAACCTTTTAAAATAAAAAAAAATAATAATAATAATACATTACAGATGAGAAAGCCGTGGTAGATTGCAGTTTCATAACGGAATTCGAAGATCACATATTCGTCACAATCGATGCGGAAGCTTTCTTTTTCCTTCACGACCTCATATCATCGTACCTTAAAGAAAAAGAAAAAGTGGTAAAAAATTAACATGACCGATTTGATTTTTATTAATCATTGATTATTTATTCGTTCACGACATCGTTATTATTATTATTTTAAAAAAAGGAATCGAATCATTTTCAGATAATATCCGTGCAAACGATTAAATGTCACAGTCCGGATTCGGATAAGAAAAGAGACAGCGTCGTCATCGAAGATGAGAAAAAAGAAAAGAAATCCCACGAAAGCGGTGACGTTTTTACAAAAGATTGGAGAACGTATAATTGCAAAACGTGGCATTTAGAACCCAAAGTCAAGTAAGTGATGGTGATGAGGATGAGGTTGAGGTTGAGGATGACATAAAGTAATTAAATTCGTTTTTTTGTACAGGTTGTGGTCGTGGGCCGGTAAAAGCATAGAACCCTACGGAGTGGATTACATATTGCAAAAATTAGGTTTTTCACACGCGAGAACAACCATTCCAAAATGGGTTCAAAGAGGTTTCATGGATCCTCTTGATAAAATATTAGCCGTTTTAATGCATCAAATGATAATGGCTGTAAAAGAAAATTCAACCGAATCAAATCGTAAAAGTTAGTTTTTTAACTAAAAAGGTAAATGTTCGATAGATCGATACATCGATCGATGGATCGATTCATTGTAAAAAAAAAAAAAATGTAAAAAAAAATCGAAATTTGTTAAATATTTTTGTTACGAATAAAATAAATTTCGTTATTTTAAAAAAAAAAAACAAATAAAAGTTGAATGAAAAGTTTTTTTAGTTTGTTTGTTTGTTAGTTTCTTGTTAAGAAAATATTTATTAGGCTGTGCTGCTTTTATTTGAATTAAGTATTAATTAATTAATTATTATTAAAATATGATAATATAAAAAAATTAATTAATAATAATAATAATAATTTTTTTTTGTTCGTTTCCGTTAAAGATAGAATCATTGAATAATAGAAATAATAATTTTAAATATATAAAAAAAATATCAAACACGATTTTATTATTATTATTACGATGACAAGTTATTTGTTTGTTTTTTGTTTGTTTTTATTATTATTATTATTATTATTATTATTATTATTATTGTAGAATCATTTGTACATTTTATTTATTTATTTATATATATTAATAATTTTTATGAAATTTGCTTTTGAAAAAAAAAAAAAAAAAAAAAAAAAAAACTTTTTATCATATGTAAATTAATAAAAAATAAAAAAATATTTAATAAAAAAAAAATTAATTAAATGATTCGATAGAATTTTTATATCCCTTTTTATCAAAAATATTCCAGAGCTTTATGTTATTGTAAACAATTTAAATGATGAAAATTAATTGCAATTCCAAAAAAAAATTAATTAAATTATACGACGTTACAAATAATCACACGCAAAAGTTAATTGACTAAATTTTTTTTTTTTTAAATCTATTCAAAAAAAATTAACAAAAAAAAAAAAAAAAAAAAAATGTCGACAATGTTATTTTATCAATAAATTTATATACAAAAAAATAATTGAAATTATAAAAATTGATTTTATTCACTGCAATGCACTAATTAAAACATTTATTTATTAATTTCAAATTAAGTTTTTATACTTTTAAATTCTCTACCCAGCAAATATGATTCAGATGATGATTTGTACGAAGCTTTAGGTTTGATAAAATGTAATAAATTAAAAAATTTTTTTATATCATTAACAAGTCTCTCATGTTGACCATCCCAAATTTTTAATAAAATCCCACCGCCCCCTTTTAAATTATTTACGGAAAAAAATAAAACGGAATAAAGTAATTTAATTATATTTTCCTGATCTAAACTTTTGACTCCTGTCGATTTGGGAGCCATGTCGCTGAAAATAAAATCAAATTTTTCACCATTTGTTATTCCTTTTATTTTTTCCTGCGATGATTCATTTGTAAAATCTAAATTAGATAAAATAGTTACACCTTCGATTGGAAATATGGGTGAAATATCTATGGCAATAACAGTTCCTTTGGGACTTTTATCAACTGTAAATAATTAACAAATAACATTTGTAATTAATGATCAAGACAATCAAGAGTTTTTAATGATGATGATGAGAAACAAAATAAAAACCAACTTTTCCCATTTGAATTTGTTTTTGATGCTAAAACCTGAGACCAAGATCCAGGACTTGCTCCCACATCTAAAACAACATCTCCAGGTTTTACTAAATTATATTTATCATTTATTTCTAATAATTTAAATGCACTGCGACATCTAAAAAAAACATTTTTTTAAGTTTAAAACGAAATAAGAATTTTTTTACAAAAAAATTTTTTCATTAAACCTAAACAAACCGGTAATTTTCTTTTTTAGCTTTTTCTACATAAATATCATTATTATGTCTTTTTAACCATTCAGTCGAATTAAAACTTTTACATCTACGACCTACGACAACTAAATTTTTTAATGACATTATTTAAATTAAACTAACTAAAAAAGTATGGAAAAAAAACAAAAATATAAAACTTTCAGTAATAACCATAATCGACCAGTAGGGGAGAAACGTCGTCTGCTACAGAAAAAGGAAACCCGCCAAAAATGACCTTTATTAGTGTTTGTTATTGTTATGAATTTAGTCAAAATGAAAGATATTTTCGATGAAATATTACAACTCCTTCCTTCGTCGACATTAGAGATATTAAAACAACATAAAACGGATTCTGAACATTGTGGTCACAAATTAGAACAACTTTTAAACGAAACTCTCGATATACAAAATAAACAAACCGAAAGAGAACTACAAAGAAAGTGCATCGATGTCAATTCCAAAGTTGTTGAAAATTCAAACATTTTGGATAAACTAACGAAAGAACTAAACGCAACAAAAAATTTAATAAATGATGCTAATCAGCAAAACGAAGAGATTTTAAATAAGAAACTAATGGAATATGACGTAATTAATTAATTTACTAATATTAACCTTATTCATTACTAATATTGTTTACAAAAATATATATAATTTATTAATTAATTTTAGGTTCAAATATCTGAAATGAAAAAAAAACTACAAAAAGTTGATTGTGATGAATTATTTAATAATATTGAAAAGCTTAATGAAGACATTTTAATTTATAGAAAAAAATTAAAGGAAGCTCAATGTAAATATGAATGTTTCGAAGATTTTCCCCCCAACATGGCAGAAGCTAAAAAAGCTATAGATGATATTAGAGAAAGAATTAAAAAACATGATAAAGATATCAATTCATTATTTTAAACATTTAAAAGATGATACCTTATTTTTTTTTTACTCATACAATATTATTATCGTTTATAAAACTTATTTTATTATCAGTATTATTATTTAAGTTAATTTATCATAGCTAAAATTGTATCAAATATTGTACAGTAAATCAATAACAATTTTTTTAAACTTGTTTAATAAATATCAACGAGTAAAATTGCAAAAAAAAAAAAACTAAATTTTTTTTAGTAGTGCTATTATATATTACAATTTATGTGTATTGAACACTAAATTATTTTGTGTTTACAAAGATAAAGTTTCCAGTTCTTTTATTAAATCCATGTGATCAAATTCATCTTGTGAATATGTAAATTTTTTTAATAAATTTAATCGTTTTTCATTGTTTTGAGCATAGTAAAGTTGTAATTCGTTAACCAAACACTGAGCTTCCTGACAATTTAAAATATCAGTGTTAAATTCTCCTTTCATTAAAACAATTCCTTTTTCATTTACTAAATCAGGATAAAAAGTTAAAGTCAAACATTCAGGTGCATTTTCCTTATGAGTTTGATAAGCGATTAATGGTGTAAAGTGAACTTCGTGAGCTAAAAATTGGCAAACGATAAATTCATAACCCTGACTCCTTGGTAAAGGAAGAAGAAATGTTGAAAATTCTTTTCCCCTCTCATGCATTACTAAATATGTATCTTTGGGTACAACACTTGTAACAACATCTTTACTCCTATGATAATCTATCCAAATATGTTTGATTTCTTCAGGTGTTTTATCCATTAATAAATCGACTTTCATTATATCGTTTAAGCTTTTCGTTTTTGTAAATGGTGAACTTTCTAATTTAGGTTTTCCATGTTCCGAAGCGATAGAATAAGGTCTATCTTTTGCTTCCTTATTATTATTAATTTTATTTTTTTCCTTTTTTTTTTCGTTTTCTTCCAATTTTTTTCTCAATTCATCCGGTGATTCCTGTTGAATTTTTGCTATTTTAACAGAATACTTATCGAAAAATGGATTGTTTTTTAAATTTTCCAATGCTTTTTCATATGAGACAGAAGAACTTGCTATGTTATTTTGCGACATTTTCAATAATTTACAAAATATATTTTTCCTAATTAATATTTTATGTATCAGTGACATTACAATTACTTAAAGCTCTGGATAAATTTTTAATTATTAACTTGTAAAAAATTAATTACATCTCAAACTTGAAAATTAATATTCAACACTCATTTCACCAAAATAAAATTTTTAAAAAGAATTTTAAACCTTCTTCTTCTTTTAAAAAACGTTACTTTTTTAAATAAATAAATAAAATTTATGTACTAGTAAGTATCACTTGATATTAGACAAGTAACTAACAGGTACTTTTATCAATAATTTAAATAAAATAAAATTTTTTATGTGATTTATTGTTTATGAATTTAATTGAATTGATATCATTATTAATCATCGATCAATTTTCAAATAAATAAAATTATTAATTTATTTATTTATTTGAAATTTATTATTTTTTTTTAAACAAAAAAAAAAAAATTAATAAAATTTCTATCTAACCTGATAATAAATTAATGCGGCATGTGAAACCTGACACAGGGCTCACAACTGTAAAAAAAAAAAAAAAATTATTAGAAATTTGTTGTTTATTGAGTGTTATATTGATAATAATAAGAAATTTTTAAAAACTATTTTTTTTTTTTATATATAAATATTACTGGTACTAAATATTTTTCTAATTTATTTAATTTAAATTTATATTTTATTTCTACCCACACGTTTCATAAATTTAAATTGTAATTTTATTTATCAAATTTTTTTTTTTTACAAAAGAAATTTTTCTTTATTGTTTTTGATGATGAATAAGTAGTTATTATAAAAAAAAAAAAAAAATTTCAAGTACCTTTTTTATTTTTTTGTTAATAAATAATATCGTGTAATAATCGTTTTTCGGTCGCATAAAAAAAAAAAAAAAAAAAAAAAAGTATCAAAATTTTTTAAAGGTGTTAATTTACCCATAATTAAACTTGCAATTGCAATTGAAATTAATTTTTTTAAACAATTAAAAAAAATATTAATAACGTTAAAAGTACAGTTATGGTTTTCTAATTAGTATTGAATTAATATCTATTATCAATTTTCCAATTATTTTTCTGCAATAATAAATTTGTTTGTTTGATTTCATTGTAAAGTATAAATGCGACAAGTGTTTAGTTTAGTTTTTATGTTTCTTTAAATCAACTTGTTACACTATCACATAACAATCTCATTGTAAATTTAATACTTTACAAAATCATTATTATTTATTTTAAATTGAAAAATATATAATTAATTGACCTTTTAAATAAAATGAAAGTTTAATTTTAAATGTCAAATTTGTTGCAGTTTTTTTTTAATATATAATTTAGTGGTTTTTTTTTAATTTCCACTTGTAATACATCATTTTATTAATTTTATAAATAAATGTTTTCGATTTCAGTGTAATTATGTTCTCGTAGTTAATTTTAACACACATATATATATACAGTTATTTAAAATAATCATTTAGAAATATTCTTTTATGCAGAGTATTTTAAACTAAATTGTTTTTTTATTTTTTTAATTTTTTTTTTAGTTTCAATCTAATGGATCCTAGAAGAGTGAAATTTCATTTTAATGATTCAACATCTATGAACGTACATTACAACAATTTATTTTATAAAAATAATTACAACGATCCTACTTCGAAATATTCATTTTATAAATCTTATAACATTAGACATAAAGAAAAGTTTAATGGAATCAACAAAAATTACATAGGCAAGAGAAAAAATGATTTTTCTCAACCTGGCTTAAAAAAAAGAACTTATAAAAAAAGTAGAAATAATGTTTCCTCGAAAATAATTCCTCCCACAATTGAAGAAGTTGACGAAGAAGCGAGAAGAAAGGAAATTAGCGATGTCGCTAGGAAACTTCTTAAAAAAATCAATGTTGAAAATTCTAAAAGTGAAATTAGTATGAGTGGAAATGATGATAAATTTAAATCATCATCTTTGATAGACGTTGACAAAAATGAAAACAAATGTGTTGACGGTGTGAATTGTGTTAAAAAAGTCGGAGGAATAAGTAGTGTGATGATGGTAAACGGTTGTGAAAGCGGTAGAAAGAGAATAGCTCATTCTAAAAATTCAAATAAATTATGCAGTTTAAAAAAAACATTACCTAAATCTAATCATTTCGATGAGGAATCATCCAATTCATCAAATGATTATAATGTTAATAAAGAAGCTGTGAAAGATTTTCAAAATCGAATTCAACACAAGTTAATTAATGAAATTGTTCAAATGCCCAAAGAATATCTTTACAACATGCTTAATAATCCTAATATCAATCCAATAATGCAAAATAAAATATCAAATTTAGTTAAACAAAATAGATTGTTGATTGCTCAAAAACTCAGAGCCATGGCCGAAACAAAAATGAAAACTAATAATTGTTCGACAAGCATTGAACTTTTAGCCGATATTGATAAAATGATTGATCCGGTTGTAGAGACTGATTTGTCTGCATTACCGATAAAATTAATAAAACAAATGGAAGATATTTTCCAAGTACAATTTGATCATTCTAATAATAGCGAAACCTATTTATTAAATCAAAATAATCATGCCTTAAATACAGATGAATGTGTAAATGAATCAAATAATATTATCAATAGTAAATTAGTTGATTGCATAAGTATGAAAGAAGAATGTACTGATGCGAAAAAAATCACAGACATAGAAGATTATGCCGATGATGGAAAATGTGAATCAATTACTACTTTTGATTTTAAGATTAAAGAAGAAGTTATGGAAGATAAAATTAAGTTAAATATCGATGGAACAAACAGCGAGAGTCACATTGAAAATCAGTATGATTCAAATAATACTAATTCATGTGAGAATATGTTGGTATATGAAATATCAACAGATGAAGATGAAACAAATTTGTCAAAATCACTCAAAAAAATTATTAGGAATGAAAAAAAAAAAAAAAAAAAATCAAAAAAAAAATCAAAAAAAAAATTAATCAAAAATAAAGATTTCAAAAGAAGTAAAAAACCAATAAGTAGAGTTATAGAAATGGAAAATATAAAAAAAAGTACAAATAATTTCCATCTTACGGATATTTCACTGCCTTTTCCACCTAATGAAATCATTGACTCCACAATGGAAGAAGAAAAAAAGAAAATGGATTCGAAAAGTTGTCAAACGGATGCGAATACCACCGAAATGGCGTCAAAAGAAACTCAAACAATTTTAGACATGAATAACGTGATTAGTTTAAACGATATAATCGAAGATGAAAATTTAGATTCGATTGATAGTCATTCTCTTTTACAAGAAATAAATACAATTCAAAAAACTATAAATAAATTAAATGTGAAAAAATTAAATTTATTTTTAAAACTATCCGGAGTCGATGTGACCAATCGGAATAAAATTGATATAATAAATTAATCGAAATATTTAATCAATCACGGACTGAATTAGCATAAATATAGTTTTTAAAAAAAATCAATTGTTAAAAAAAAGTGAATAAATAATAATTACTTACCTTAAAATTAATTTCTTTAAACTAGTCACCACTGCACTACTTTAACGAACTCTTTCTCGAACGTAACTAATTTTGAATTTCGTTCGAAACAAAGTTTCGAAACAATTTTTCCCGCCAAACGGTGTTGCTTAGCAACAAATTCAAATTCAATCATTAAATTATATTTTTAATATACGTTTTTTTTTTTTTTTTTTGTTGTCCTCGTATTTATTTAAGTAATTTTTTTTAATTGATTCGGGTTAAAAAATTAATAATAATAAATAAATAAATAAATAAAATATTAATGTATATTTTTATGTATAAAATAATTATTTTTTAATAAATAATTGATGACAAAAATAATTAGTGATGAAAATTTTATAATAAATTAGATACGAAAAAAAAAAAATTACATACATACTTAAATATAACATTAAATGACTTACTATATAATAATAATAATACTGATACACGTAAAAATAAAAATGGCGGATTTTTATTTTATAATTTATATTTTACCGATTCTGTGAACCGACCAACTCCTGAAAAGTTTTTTTGTTTGTTTCTTAAGTTCACGACCGTGAGCTATCGTTATTTCTAACGTTGCACCGTTGCTCAATGCTAACCAAGTGTGTGTTTCTTTACCTTCGTCTGGAAAACATCCATTCATTCATATCGTTTTTCCTTTCGAAATGTCATTTTTTAAAAAAAAGAAAAGAAAAAAACTTACTCGACAGCAAATCCTGTAACGTGACTCTTCTCACCGCCACAATTTCTTTTCCGGAACTTCTTATTTCAAAAAGTAAAACGGCTTGTCTCGGTACGTTTTCCGGACTGCTTATTTGAAAATGTAAATCGAATTGAGGATTCGGCACTGCTGGCAGCAAATGACTTTTTGCAAGGGTTTTTCCATTGTTATTATTTTGCTGTGATTTTCCATTTTTGCTCTCCGTTTGCGCCCTGTTTACAAGTAATAAGTTAATGATATGCGTGACGTCATAAAGAAAAAAACAAAATAATAATGATTATAATAGTAACCCAATGAGTTTTATCCTGCAGTAAAGTTGTGCGACGTGTGCGACGTGAAGTCCTTGAGCTTGAATAACTTTTCCTTCTACGCCTGTATATTTATCAGGTCTACCTGTCGACCCTATTTGTAATTCTAAAAACAAAATGTCGGAAAATAAATGACGTTTCGGTCGGTCGACAGGTTCCAAATCCTCAATTTTTTTTATTTGGATCGTACCTGTAGGTCTCGGAGCTAATCCTTTACCGTTTCTTACGTTCGGTTGAGATATTGCGTGACTCAAAGGTTCCCTTTTGAAAAAATCAATTTCGTCATCGTGTCCTTTAAATTTTTTGGAATTTTTATTTTCCTGACGCACGCTTAATTCCGATTTGAATCTTCTGAGTCTTAAACTTTTCGAAACCTGGAAAATAAGGTTCATAAGGTCGTAATTTATTTGATTACAAAAAAAAACGTTAATGATAATAACAATGTTAAAACCTTTTCTTTCATGGACCTAAAGGCACTGACTTCAACGTCTAGATTTTTTTTCGGTGGCAGAGGTTGAGGAGAAGTTTGTTTGCTCGTACAATTTGTTTCGAAAGGTGCGTTTGAACTTGCTCTCGAACTTGTCCTAGTCAACGATGGACTATTTTCTACATTGACGTCACGGGAAAGAGACTGAATGCTGCTGTACGTGGAAGCATCCGAATTGTCGCAAATAAATTTCGGGAATCCGTTCGTTATATTTTTATTAACTGAAAAAAAAAAAAAAAAAAAAGTGAAAATCTTAGAGTCGGAGCTTTGAAAACGGATGTTATCAAAAAAAATTGTTAAAAACTATAAAAATTTAAAACCTTGTTCGATTAATTGCTGCGTTGCATTTTTATGATGCGGAACGGAAATAGTTCGAGGTGGAGTAGGAGGAGGCACATTAACACCTAACCTAATATGAGATCTTTCCATTGATTTCCTACGAATCACAGGACTAGATTCCGATGAATTTTTAGATACTTCTAAATTATTCGAATACGATTTCTTATCGATTCCCTGCTAAATAAAAAAAAAAAAAAAAAACGTTAAAAATAGGGAAAAAAAATAATTTCTGAATTTTTCTTTTGTGGTAAAAAAGAAAAAATGAAACCAACGTCCAACGTTGCCAAATCTTCTGATATTATGCGAATTTTCAATTCGACCGATCCGGATTTAACTTCTTGTAGAGAAAACCATTTTGGTTCGTTCAACGTTGAAATTTCTCGAATTTCTTCAACCGTGAATCCAATGTTTCCGAGAAAATCATTTTTACCCAAAATGTCACGATCCCAAATTGTCTTTAAAAAAAAAAAAAAAAAAAAAACCTTAAAATTAATTTTTTTTTCTTCTCTTTCGTGCCTTAAAAAGAATGAATAAACGTGAAAACTAACGATATCGAATGTTTCTCCCGGTTTCGGTATTCCCATAATGGCATTTTCTTCCCAAACGGGATTAAGAGTTTTTTTTTTGACTCCGGATTTATATTTACATTCGCCATTAACCCTAAGTTCGTAATACGGATCGCTGAATCCATTTTTATCCATTGGTACAAGATCGCGAGCCCTGTTTTTAAAAAAATTTTTACAATTTTTTAATTAATTAACAAAAAAAATAAAATTAAAATCACTAAAAAAAAAAAAAAAATGTCAACCGACTGCAATATCGTGACTTCCATTAATCCCGAACCGCTAGCTAGGATTTGACTTATATTTAATCCACTTTGTATTTCTTGATCCGTTTTACCAACTAATAAATGCCTCTATAAAAAAAAAAAAAAAAACAAAAACAATTTTAAATACTTCCAAAAAAAAAAAATAATAATAATAATAATAAATTTTGGTACGCACGGCTTGTTGAACTAACGAAAAATAAGACATTTTATGTTTTCCATTACTTAAATCTAATTTCGAAAAAAAAATGAAATCGTCACCGTTAGGCGAAAATGAATTTTTCCTATTTGTATCGCTTATGCCATCGACGGGTTGAAAAATGATTGAAACGTTTATCGTTGGAGTATTAAATGCGCAACCGTTCATTGTCAGCTGACGATTGTGAACCCACGTTTCACCCTTTTGTTTAAAAAAAACCATTTTATGTAAAAATATACATTTTGTGGGTTAAAGCTAAAAAAAAAAAATCAATTCTTACTTCTGTAAAATTAAAAACGGCAACCCCGAGCATTTCGTCATTTGATATTTTTTTCGGGTTCCACGAACAGCAGACGACAAATGCCAACGACGTGTGACTATAATTGTTAACCAAAAATTGACATCTCGATTGCCACTGTGGAGAAGTCGAATTGTGAATGCAATGAGTGGTAAGAACCTGCGCGTGTGCGTGTGTACATTAAAAAAAGGCACGTTATAAAAAACCACACCTTACAACCGGCTTAATTTTTTTAAAATAAGTAAATGTTTATGATAATTACTTTTCGTCTGTCGTTGAAAAGCATACAATATGAATTAGAATGATTTGGATCGCTAAATGTCAAACCCTGGGCCGAATGAATAAAAACCGTTATGACTCCGGAAACTAAAAATCCAAAATTAATTATTATGGCAAATTAATTATTGTTATTATCAATTCATTTTCATGAGGGAATTTTTCGAGGTTACTGACCTACGGAACTGTCCTCGTACGATGCGTTTATTGAAAACATGTGAGGTTGATCCAGGGATATAGAAGGCAACGGAGTATATTCTAATTTAACATTTATCGATGGAATGCTTGAACCTTTCGTTATTTTTTTTTGCAATGAAGTTTCGACGCTGTAATCAATTATAAACAATCACGTTCCGTCGTCGCCGCCGCCATTACTTTTTATTCGTGAAAGCTAAGTCAAACTTACCAATGAGTACTATTCAAATTGTAATCGTTTAAAAACATTTCGTATTGTGCCAATGTAACAGTGCTTATTAACCTCCTACTTTTGAGCTTTATAATTAATTTATCCGTTTTTAACGATTCAACGAGAAACGACGAAGTTTGAATCCAATTTTGAGAAAGCGTCGTCGACTTGAAGTATTGATTTCCTAATTTGAACACCAGCCATTTTGAATCTCCGGTTCCGGTCCCTTTGTAATAAAACAATTTTGGTATACCGATTAAAATGTTTTTAAATATTGTTCGTTTTAAAATTCAAATAATTACTTACCGTTTTGAGTGGCCGAAACGGTGATTGTTAAAACTCCCTGAGCGGATGCTACCCAATTGTTTACACCGGGTGTGATTTGATTTTTTAAAAAATTTAAATGTAATCTTCCGGGATCGACCAAAGCCGTTTCGAGAGCGTCCATAAACACGGAGTGGATCCAAGTTTTTAAAACCGGAACTTCCATCATTTGAATTGACTAAATAAAATATATTTCTGTTAACGTATTTTTTTTTTTTTTTTAAATAATAACATAATAATCGTTCTTTTCGTCACCTTTAGCACTCGAATGCTGAACCAAACTTCTGGTTTTTCAATAAACATAATCGAAACCTCCGATATGTGTGGAAATGATGAATTCATATCAATGGTCAAAAGCACTTCTAATTTTCCGCAAATGTTTAATTTTTCCATTGCTATGTCTAAATCCACTCCCATCCTAAAAAAAAAAAAAAAAAAAAAAAATGGCGCCCTTTAATTTTATTCAAAATAAAAATATTTTACTTTGATGAATAAATTTTTTTTTTTTTACCCTTTTCCAAACAACCTCGTATTTAAAACCAAACGAAAATCTTCTGAATTTAAATACAAATCCACAATGAGAGCAACTTGATTTTGTGAACTTCTTTCGGAATTTATATTTCGGCCGCAATACGGAGTTCTTTTCCCATCTATTACATCGTACATTTTTACGGATTTCACACAGGGTGTATCTTCTCCAAAAGTAAATTGACGAAGTTTTACGTTTTCTGTTTTTGACAACAACAACAAAAAAAAGTAAAAAAAATTCAAAAATTTACGAATCGATAATTTTTTTTTTTTTTTTTTTTTTTTTTTTTTCCAATTATTACCAACAAACGACGGTTTCGCATAATTCAAAAGAGGTTCAAGCCTTTCTTTAACAATGGAAAAAACGCTTCTGGAATTGACCATCCACCTAAAAACCGTTTTTTTTTTTTTTTCTTTTTATTAATATTTTTTTAGTAGGGCATCGAAATAAATTTTTTTTTTACATACCATCTATTAAATAAAAAATTAACCCATTCGGCAGTTTCGTCCTTGCACAACGCTTTTCTTCGCCTTATTCTAAGTATTTCTTCATTTTTAGCCGTTTCTATAATTTTCAATAAACTTGAAGACCAAACGGCCGCTATAATGAATATTAAAAGGACGAGCCATGCAACTGATAAACCGCTTGCTCCTATCATCCAACCGCAAAATATTGTACCGTTCATAACAAAAAGAAGCCATTTTAATGTTTCGTTTTTTTGCCAAAAAAAAAAAAAATAAATAAATAAATAAATTTTTTTGGAAAAGAAAACAAAGTTTAAAAATAAATTCGTGATGAAAAAAAAAAAATATACCTTAGAACAAATAATTTCTATCATATTGCATCGTAACTAAATTTTTTTTTTTTTTTTTTAAACACGAACAAAAATTAAATTAAATTAAATTTACGAAAATGGGGGTAAAAACTTGATATTTACAAAAAAAAAAAAAAACAAGTCATTAACCTCTTATTACAAATTTTTTTTTAAAAGGGTACGCGAAGTTTTACATGTTAACGCTTCATAACTTATTCAATACAAATTTCCCGGTAAAATTAAATCGCGGAGCACAAACAAACCGAATAATTACAATAATAATAATAATAATAATAATTTTTTAAAGCACTTTCGACGTCTAAATAAATAAATAAATTTTTACGTAACACGTTAGTTAAAATACTAGACCGAAACTGAAATGATGATGATGATGCATCAAAGAAAAATAATAATAATAATATAATAATAATAATATTTAAAAAAAATTGTGAAAGTTTTTTAATAAAGAAATTCGAATCGAAATCATTGTAGTCATCGTGTGTTCGACAGCGTGGCAAAAAAACAAACAAAAGAAAAGCCAATTGAAAAATAATATAACCTGAATTCAAACTAATTCTTTTTTTCTTTTTCTTTTTTTTACTAGGATTGCAAAATAGTTAAATTCTTTTCTGAAAATGATGAAAATAAATATCGATTAAACGATAAAATTAATAGATTACGCGATCTCGAATTTTCGATAATAACTGAATTATTTAATAATAGAATAAATGAAAATGTGTCTCTATGTGAATTTTCACGCTAATTTCATGCCATACAAAGTCAATTGTCGGGAAAAAAGCTAAAAGAAAAAGCTAAAAAAAAAAAAACTAAAGTCCAATAATAAGTAAATAAATAAGAAAAAAAAACATTAAAAATTTAAAAAATGTCTAAATGAAAATTATTAACGTCTCGTTACTATTAATAATAATAATAATTTTTCTTTTTTTTTACTAATTTTTTTTTTGTTCTCTCCACCCCCTAATATCGATTATTAGTTCGCGTGATATAAGAAAATTATTATTATTATTATTATTATTATTATTTTTGCTCCAATTTTATAATTCG